TCACGGCGTCTGTGTTAATTTTTTCGCTAAAATTGTTTCAAATCCTTGTAAAGGGTTTACAAAGCCACCCCTTTGTTTTTTTTTTCTGCACTAAAAAACTTGAATAATTCATTGATTTTTATTTTGTCCGTACAGAAAAAAAACGCAATTGCTGGTCACGGCAACCGTGTTAGATTTTATGCCAAAATTGTTTCATATCCATGTTTAGGAATCACAAAACCACACTTGACTTCTGGTTCTATTTTCTGCAGTGATTTCTGTCAGTGATTTCTAGTTATTCCAACCAACTAAAACTTATTTGATTTGCGGCAATACTGTTATATATTTTTTAAAAAATATATTCAAGAGTTAATAACGTTTTTTTTGAAAATTTTTTTTTTTTATTTTTAGAACTCATTTATTTTGATCAAAATATACTCAATATTTACTGAATAAAAACGTAGGTATTGATTGTATTAATAACAAGTAAAAGATAAGGAAACTTACTCGGATCCGAGGCCGAAGACGAGCTCGGATTACAAAGATCAGGAATTCGACATTACGCTCATGCAGTGTTCTTATCTTTTTTAACAATCGCTTGTCTTAACCGGCGCTAATACTATTTTTTCATTGTGAATCGCATTACGAGATGGGTCAGAAGCGTAATTATATTATTTTACATTCCACGTGGAAACTAATGTTTCGGAGTGTCGAATTTGTAAACAAAATTTCAGTGGCAACTATTCGAGCTACCTAAAGCGACATTTGGAAGCGAAGCACAAGAGTGAAGTGGCCGAAACAAAGGAAACACAAGTGGCTGAAAAAAAGAAAAAGTTCTCGGTCGTAATGGGGCAATAAGAAGTTAAAAAAGCCTGCATTGTCCTGGTGACCGTTGCAAAGGTTCCTTTGGCAGTATTACACTACGAAGGTTTCAAGACGTTAACAGCTCAAATATTTAGTGGCTCGGATATGACATCTATAACATCGAGAAATGTTATGAGCTTAGTCGAGGAGAAATACAGGTCGTTAAAGGGTGAAATGGTCGAGACCAAAAAAACCGAAAAACCGTTAAAAATTAACACGGAAAAAAGGTGCATTCGACAATGATGAAATTTGCGTTAAAACTTTGGGCTTGATAGAGCTAAAGGAGTCGCACACCTCCCGAAATTTTTGCTCTGAAATTTATAGCCTGATTCCATTGGCGCATTAGTGGACTTTTTAAATGTGCCTGATTCCATTGGCGCATTAGCATTTAGCTAATCCTACTCCGACATGTAGGTGGCACGAACAGCTGATCTGCGTTTGTATACTTCTGAATTCTAACAAATCCAAAAGAAATTAATTAAAAGTAATGAATATGAGTGAATTTACTCAACTTTTTAATGCTCAGCAAGACATCCATAATGCGACCGAGGCATTTGCCAACTTGAACGACAAGGAAGAAAAGCTGATTGCGTTGTTTGACGGGTTTGTAATGGAGATCACCACAGTTTCTAATAAGGGCAGCATCCCCGAATATGTGGGAGTTATTTTATGCCATAGATCCAGCATTGTGATACTGCGAACAGAATTAACAGCGTGCGCTCTAGTTTTAAGCCATTTTTTTACAAAATAGATTTTTTATTAAAAAAACATCAAAAATTTCGCCAACCTTGCATATAGAAAACAGCTGTTGTAGTTGTGGCACTAACAAAATTTCGTTAAATATCGGTATTTTCAGTTTTTTATTTCTAAAAACGTTCGTTGCGAATGGTTTTTAATCGCATTTAATAATTGTTACGGAACTGCATCTTTCCCGGAGGGCAGCGCCGGCTAGCCACGGAGTCCCAGGCCGGAGTACCCCCTATGCCCTGCAGTCCGAACAATCGATTCCGACTCATTGGACGTCTCACGTCACTAACTTGACGAAAACAAAACAAAGTTATATTTACATCAAAAATCTAAGACAATTGGACGAAATTGGTGGCTTCGATGTCCTTGCCACAACGCACCCACCCAACCTTGGGTGCCCCAAAAATGATGTACGAGGCACGCCCCATCTCCGGCAGACCGGAGTCTATTCCTGGTGGATTAGGATCGGCTCATCTCCCCGCCCAAGGTAACTTACACAAACATCTCGGTAGCTTGTTCACATTAAATTTCGGGCAAGACTAATAATAAAGTACATTCATTATTGATTCCTACTAATAATCTACTCTTTTCGTTAAAAACACTTAAGGCCGATCTCAGACCGTCGCCCAGATGAGAAGCGGTCAAAGCGGCAACAACAGAAGGGAAATTTTTAGACGCTTAAAATTACAAGTGTTTGGCAAAATCGCCGCACGGCACTAAATTGGAGGCGTTTGCCAACCGGGTCGCCTAATCCTGAGGAGCTCCAAGGGAAAAGAAGGGACGTGCTGAAAAGATAAGTACGCTAAATAAATCCCATAAGTCATTAAATTTCGCGACCCAATTTAGACGTAGTTGGACGCGCGGCTAGGGTTCGGAATTAAGCCTCTAATTTTAGATTAGATTTCACAGTGAATACTTGACAATCTTGACTGTATGATATCACAAAAATCATAACTAAAACTTATTTATTGCAGAGTTCAACGTCGGATGTGGTTGAAGCTGCAGCCAGAAGAGAAAATCGCTAGCGGCAAAATCCAGCGAGAGTCCGCACGGAGCCAATTGGTCCGGAGGATAGCGCAGCGTCTGCGTAAGAGGCACCGGAGGCAGTGCGTCGGTGGACTTAGAGATGACCACGTGGTCAGCGCGGGCATTCGTTCCCGGAACGGACTCAACGAGGGAATCTCCGTATCTGGCCGTCTCGGAGGCAGTTGCTGGAGCTGCTGACGTTGGAGGCTGCTGCTGCTGCTGATCGCTGCTGCTGCTGCGGCTGATGCTGCTGATCGCTGCTGCTGCTGTGGCTAATGCTGCTGCGGAAGCTGATCGCTGTTGCTGCTGAGGTTAATGCTGCTGCTGCGGTTAATGCTGCTGCGGCTAATGCTACTGCGGCTAATGCTGCTGCCGCTGATGCCACTAATCGCTGCCGCTGTTGGAGCCGATCGCTGCTGCTGGTGATGCTGCTGCGGCTGGTGGACGACGACCGGGTTAGGTCCGCCTGGTAAGTGTTCACCTTCCCAAATCTTTTAAATTTCCAGGGCCCCTTAGATAGGGTTCCCGGTGTCTTTAATATTTTAAAAAATCACTGTTATTTATAAGTTTATTGCAAATAAATAACCACTCACTTCAAATTATCTAAACACTAATTATGAATTTATGAACTTATTTTTTCCCGACTGTTCTCCTACAACTTAGTGCAGCAACTAAATCAAAACCCTGACCTACACCAAAGTCGTTCGCCATTTTCCCTCCCGCTCTCTCAAGATGGGTCAGCGAACGTATTCAAGGCTATTAACGAGCGAACCGGGCTAAATTTAAATAGCTAGATCCTCTCCCGCTATCAATAGTCGGTGTCACCTCCGAATCTTATCGATAGCGGGACCTGCTGACGTATCGGTTCGTTTAAGTATTTTCCAGACGGCTTCAACTGAAAATGCAACACCACCCTGGATTCCGAGAGACGCTAACACAAAGTTTTAGACAAGCGCAGGAATACTTGGAAGCATTTGGATTTGGACCATTCGGATTCAGCCGGCCTCGATACGGCCTCAGACGGTGTCCAACGCGGGGCCCACGCTTTACGGGAAGTAGACACATGCCGATTCTGAGCTCGTGTACTTTGTTATTCCTCTTTCTAGATCACAACCTAATGTCCTTGGCATGATACACTCCGATCGGTCGTCCTTGAAGATCTTCAAGCTCGTACGCATTATTGTCGACTGTCTTGACCACCCGTGCTTTCAGGAACTTCCGAGCAAACTTTGCATTGAAGGCCTTTTTGAAATCGCTGGGGGCAAAGTTGCGGCGATACACTTCCTGACCTGGCTTCGCAAGGAAAGTACGAGTCCTTTTGTCGTACCGCAGGCGACTCCGATCGTATGCATATTCGAGGTTCTTCTGCACCTTGTCATGGATCACTTGGAGTTTATCAGCTGTTCTCATCCCAGACATTTCGTGATCACACCACGACTTCAACTTCCTTACTCTTGGACGTAAACTGGCGGCCGTTGTCCGAATGCACAATTTCTGGAACCCCAAACTTGTAGAAAACCTCGTGAATGAGGAACTCCACTATATTTGAGGCCGATGCCTCTTGCATGGCTTTCAGAAATGTATATTTGGAAAAGTGACCCACCACAATGAAGATGTAGGCCTGTCCCTTCTTCGACCTCGGATACTTCCCCAGGAATTCGATGTACAGCTTCTGAAATGGCTGCTCAGTCTGGACTCTCTCACTGATACCAGCCTGCATCCGGAAATTCGGGGATTTCGTCTCCTTGCACGCTTCACACCTGTATATGGACTCCCGGACTTGCAGTGCCATGCCAGGCCAGTAAAACTGCCCCCGTAGGTTTTCCGGAGTTTTTCCCATTCCGCCCTGTGTTATCTGCGCTTCGGCTCTTAAAGCCGATAATGCCGACGCGATGTCGACTAGGCTGTGCAGCTGTGCACTATTTTCAGTGCCCACTGTTAGCAAGTTAAACAGTGCGTAATGTTGTCCGAAAATACGATTGTAGAATTATCGAATCTGATTTAGAGGCGTAGCTAAGCCTTTCCGTTATTTCCAGGTGTGTGCGTGCAATTCTTGTAACAACTTCGTGTACTCTTCTCCAGCAAACTCAGTGGTCTCGAAGTCGAGCAACTCTGACGGGTTCACCGTTAGCTCTTCAACACAACGCGAAAGTGTATCTGCCACGACGTTCTCGCTTCCTTTCCTGTGTTCGATGTTGAAGTCATATCCCTGGAGTTGCAATGACCACCGAGCCAGCCGACCCGAAAGGTCTTTTCATGGACATGATCCGTGATGCACGTGAACGGCATTCCTTCCGCATACGGCCGGCAGGGCTGCGAGGCATTCTTTTTCGGTGACGGTGTAGTGCACTTGGTGACAATTCATCTTGGCCGAGAAGAACGCTATGGGTTGCTCCTGGCCGTCTTTATCCCGCTGGAACAACACTGCACCGATTGCGATCTGGGATGCATCGCACTTGATGAAAAAGTGCCGCTTGAAGTCCGCATATACCAAAACTGGCGCAGTAGTTAGGGCCATTTTCAAGGACTCTACTGCCAGCTGTGCTTCTGGACTCAAGGAAAACTTCTTATTTCCCGTCTTCTTCAAGGATTCCGTGAGCGGAGCTGCCAACGTCGCGGAGTTCTTTATAAACCGACGGTACCAACCAGCGGTTCCAAGAAAGGCTCTCACTTCTTTCATGATCCTTGGCTCAGGCATCCGCCTAATAGCTGCTACACGCCCTGGATTCATCCGCAGACGTCCTCCACCCACTATGAAGCCGAGGTAGGTCAAAGACTTGAAGCAAAACTTCGACTTATCAGACCAATGGTTAACCCTGCTTCTTTCAGGCATTCAGCGACTCGGCGAAGATACTTCAAGTGCGTTCTCATGTCAGGCGCTAGTATTAGCAGGTCATCCAAGTAGACGAACACATTCGAGCGGATTTCAGCTGGAATCACACGGTCCATGAGCCTCACCAGCCTCTGTGATGCGTTACAGAGTCCGAAAGGCATCACACGGAACTGGTAAAGAGGCCGACCAGGAACCGTAAAGGCTGTGTATTTCTTGCTGCTCCAACTCAATCTGCCAAAAAGCGAACTTCAATCCACGCTGGAAATGTAGTACGTTTGGTCGATTCTGGACAGGATGCCGTCTATGCTGGGCAACGGGTAAGCATCTTTGATGGTCACATCATTAAGCTTACGTGCGTCTAAGCAGAACCGGTGTTTTCCAGATCTTGATACTACGGTGGTGCGGTCGCTCCAGGCGCTTTTGCTCTCCTCGATGACTCCGAGCGCTAGCATCTTGTCGACCTCGTCCTCGACCACCTTCTGCTTCGCGGGAGACATCGGATAGGGTCGATCCTTGAAAACTTTGGCTCCGTCCATCAGCTCAATAGTGTGCTTCTCCAGACTGGTGGTACCTAAGCCATCCCTCTCGAAAGTCAAGAACTGCTGCTTGATCTCCTCCTGCTCTTGTTCCTCGGCCTTGGAAAGCGTCCAGGACTCGGGATCGGCTTTTTCCTCATCGTCATCCTCGACCTCAGCGTAGTGCTCCATCCTTCGGGATCGATGTGGCCTATAATTGCTGGGGCCTGTCCGAGTGCTTGCCAAAAGCACACTAGAAGAGGATGTGTTCCGTCCGTCCTCGGTATTCCACCGGTAGCTTGACCCGTCCTGTAATTGACCGGTTCTCTCCAGAGGCCGTACGGACTGCGGATAAGTACTTTTGGACGGGCACATCCAATGCCTCGACCAGCTCTCTGCCACCTTTACCAAGCAGACTAACTCTCGCTCCAGTGTCCAACAACCCCGTCAGTTGCTTCGTTAGGACTAGGCCTGCGGCGAATGGTCTGGGATCTCGCGATAAACTCCGCTTCACGGCGGCCCCTGCTTCGCGTCAGCAGGCCCGACGTTTTCGAAATCGGTCCCTGGCCTTCTGCACCTTGCGAGCATCCCGCCTAACTGGTGCTCTGAAAAGATCCTGTTCCTGGTCTCTAGGTAGCGCCACATCCTCTCCGCATAAGGTAAGTATCGTAATGCAAACTTATTACTATTCTTAGAAGGTAAACATTTATCTAACACTACCAACTCTTCTTCTCTGCGGGACTCCTGTCTGGACGCATCCTCTCCGCCCTCGGATCGCCCAGCCGACCGATTTCCGCACAATCCGGGCATTTGGGAGCCACGGTGTCTGGCTTCCCACATCGGTAGCAGAACAGTATGCGTTCTGTTGCTGCGCAGTCACGGAACCCGTGATCCACGGCTCCGCAATTCCAGCAGCCGGCTCGGAACGGATTCTTGAGCTTCGCCCGCACTTCGTCCACCTCGTGCCACGGAGGATCCTCACCAGGATCTGGGCCAATAGCCTCGCTAACCTTGGCCTTCTCCGCCGGAGGATACCGCATCGGCTGCGTGTACGTGGTCCGTCCACGTCGTCCAAAACTGCGTTCCATTTCGCAGCACTCTCCCTCCCTTCTCCCTCAAGTCCTTTTTAATAATCTTTACCAGCTGTCACTCTGACAGTGGCCTTTTCAGTCGAGCCGCCAACTGCTGCATTGCGTGGCTTTAATCGCCAACTCCTTCTCCGGGCTGCTGCTCCCTCTGCAGAAGTTGGTGCATCCGATCGTGCTCCGTCTGATGGCATCGGAACCTATCAGTCAGCGGGGCTCGAAGCTGAGACCACCTGTCCACCCTGCAGTGACGTACGTGCATCCAATACCACTCCCGAGCCCGCCCAGTAAGCAGCAGGTGGAAGTTTCGGAGCACCTCTTGCCACGGGCATTGGCACTGCCGCTTCAGGAACTCCAACCGGAAGAGAAAATCCTTCACCGAGTTTCGCTCATCCTCCCCGTCGAAGGTTACGCCCCACCGCTCAATTCGCCATTGCTGGTTGGCGGCTACCGGCCCCACATTGGCATACAGGCGCGGCTCCTCGCGGAACTCTCCAGGGGAAGCTGAGGCCGCTGAGCAGCAGGCCTTAACACCTCGCTCATCAGCTTCATCATTTCCAGGAAGCCACTTCGGATCTCGTCCCTCAGTGCCTGATTGATCCCGCCTTCTTGGGCCTTCCGATGCGTCTCCGCCGCCTGTGCCAAAGCCACATTAACGGCCGACCTTGTAGCAGAATTCACAAAAGGATCGTGGAGTCTTGCGTCCTTATCGTCCAGCTGCAACAACTCATCCTCCGCGGAACCAATTCCCTCCAGGATCTGCTGCTGCCTTAGGTCCTGCTGCAGCTCGGTGTCCTGTGGTTCTTTTTGCACTTGTTGCAGTCCCTGGCGGAGTCCTGGGCAACCCTTCCGATATGCGCGGCAAGCCAGCCTCGGTAGCGCTCTCCACATCCGTGGACCACATCTTTTCGTCGTCCTCGCCTGGAAAATGTAGCGGCGCCTGAAGAACGTTTGTTTGTTTTGGCTTGAAAACTGGCGATTATTTTTTTTGTATTTAGCGACCTTTGGAGAGTAGCCAGATGTCTAGCCAAATTTAGTGTCGGAAATTAGTGTTTAGCAAAAGAAATACTAATTAGTATTTTTGCGGGTGATGCCAGATAGTTCTACGATCAGCTGTCGCTGAGAAGCTTGTCCTAAACCGAAATGGCGGACTTTTCAGCTGTCAGAAATTTCTAGAAAAGGCCGCAACCGACGCCGCTTGATTTTTGAACTTCCTTCTTAATTAAACCGGCGTGGCAGTCAGACGCGTGCAATTTTATCCGTTCCCAATCGGCAAAGTGAAAAAATATATATACACGCGGTATTTCGGAGTTCTCAAAGTGATTTTTTTTAACGCAATAATTCGAGCAAAAAGTGAGTTGTGTGGGTTTTTCACTAAATATTTTTCAAGTGCTGAATTTTTGATCTCTTTTAAAAGACTGAAATTTTGCGTTTCGGGGAGCACCCCCCTCGGCCGGCAATTAGATCTGCCCTGTGGAGCACCCACGCTGCCCAGCGTTTTGGATCAGCCCGGAGGAGCACCCACCTTGGCCGCATTTAGATCTGCCCCGCGGAGCACCCACGCTGCCCCGCGATTCGGATCCTCCCGGAGGAGCACCCCATTGTAGGGGATCTGCAGTCGCCCTGAGGAGCACCCGCCTTTGCTAAGCCGCAGTGCCTCAGGGAGCACCCCCCCCAAGTTTTATTCAGTGATCAACGAAGCAGGGAGCACCCCCAAATTTTGTTCAGTGATCAGCAGTTAAAGCAGCACTCTCTCGTATAATTTAACGAGAAATTTCCTCGGCCAAATAAGAATGTAGGCTAAAAAAAAAAAAAAAAAAAGAAAAAAGAAAAAATGCCCAATTAGATCGGCCCTAACCCGAATTCAAATTTAAAAAAAAAAAATGTTAAAACTACGCTAGGGCTCGATCTTAACCTCATTTGTAACCTAAAAAAAAAATGCAGCTTGCGAAAATGTACACTTGCATATCAGCCAACCAGGCTACACTGGAAAAAATTCCTAAACTTGTGTTAACGTAAATCAAGAAAATGTATTAAAAGAATGCGATTGAATATTGAAGTAACTATAATTATGTTATGAAAAATTTAATTTAATTATATAATTATAATATTTAAATTAAGTTATGATTCATCTAGTGCGCGGTTAATTTACGGTTCCTATCTCCTGGCAAAAGTTTTCTTAAATTCGTTTTGATTCGAAGAAAAAATTAATTAAAAAAAGGTTTTGAGTGCACATATAATATAATATATATTAAATTATATTATTTTATTATATAAAACAATAACCATGTCAAAGCAGAAATGCCTTGATTTCTTTTCCAGCCTACCTGCGTCGGAAGATCGATCGTCCGCCGAGGAACTAGCTGTGTGAGTTGTTTTACCATTATTTCAAATTATAAAAAAAAAAAAATTTAAAATATTAGCGCCAATTAAATTCTTATAAACAAAAAAAAAATATATATAAATATATCAATGCCGAAAATGTAAGAAAGCCATTACTTCTAAAATTAACTTTGAAAAAAAAAATTTTTTACAAAACAAATGAATTTACACTGAGAATTTTTTTTCTCTGAAAAAAAAAAAAATTAATTTTGAATAAAATTAAAAGTAATTAACTAGCGAACCACTGATGAATATTGAATTAAGAATGAATATTAGTAATCATAAAGAAAGAACAAATCTTTGAATTTCCTTTGAACATATAACTATTTAGTTATTTTTAAAGATCATTTTTGTTTAATATACCCCATAATTATTTTTAACTATTTTTACTATACATATGTATTTACATTAATAATTATATACACCTGTGAAGCCCAGTATTTACCCATAAGGTTTAACGCGTATTATATTTTTATCTTTTCTCGCCGAAATTGTTTTCTCGTTTGTAAATTATCTAAGAAAGATTAAAAATGTTCTTATTGAAATCAATTGAAATAATCATTAAAATGAAAGCTTAAAGAAAACTAAATAACTGAACTCGCTGATGTCTCTGCGGTCGTAGGGTGCACAAGGGATCACCAGAGTTATGCTCTAGCGGCAGGTGGTCATAGGTAGGGTGGGAAATATGCGAGCCAAATTACATCTACGGCGTCGCAAACAACAAATTTCTCTCTCTCTTTCTTTTACACTGTCCCCTTTCAATAATTTCTCAAAACTTTTCTTTTCTAATTTATGCATCTTTTCTTCCGGTTAAGTATCTAGCTTTTGATTTTGTCGCATGCACGCTCAATTCTGATTTTATTAATAGTAATACGTAGACAGTGTCAAGATCTGTACGAGCAAGACCTCCACCCCCCAAGCCGACGAGCTAGAGCCGGAATATTTAGCGTGCGCAGCCAATACAGATCCTTGAAAACATTAAAGTACTTTGCACTTTAGTCGAACGTTACACGCTACAAAAACCCTTCGACCGAAGCAGGTGATCATGCTTGCTGCCTTGTCGCTTTGACATTCTGAATTTTGGTAACCCCTAACACGACTTCTGAAACCCCGAATTCAATGTGATAACCAAAAACCCAAATTATGTATAAATAAATAAATTAAGCTGAATGCTAGTAAATAATAATAAATAATAAATAAATACCACTAAATAATATGCACCTAAATAATGTGAATACTATATAAATAATAATACTAAATAAATAGAAACAATAAACAATGAATAAATAAGAAATAAATAAATAAGGCTAAACAAATTCACACTAACAATTAACTCCTAACAAAAAACAAGTCCCTCAAGACTAAATTTGTTTCTCTATTTTTTTCCCAGCCTCAATAAGGGGAGATGGAGCCGATCACCAGCCGGTAGACTCCGCGTCAGTCGTCTTGCGTCTACAATTTTGTCCAAATTCTCACTAAACAAGCCGCTCGTCAACTGTGCTGAAAGTCGCCAGATAAGGACTTCGGATGTTTGCAGGATCGCATAGGATTTCCTTTTGGAGTTTGCGCTCTTCTTTCAAGTCGCGGTGGCCGAGCAGCCACACAGTTTTATCACAGTTTTTGGTTTAACCTTTCGTGATTATTGCACGGACGACCTGGGATGCAAATCCTTCGATTTCCTTCGAAGAGGATGTCACCGCCAAATCACAGCTAAACCCTGTGAACTGTGCCTCGGGAGCAATTATCCTACTTCTAGTGGACACGCCTCCCTTTCTCCCTACAAAATTTAAATCTTCTCCACCAGTCCGCATCCACGGTGCAATTGCATGTGGTTCATGCAAGCCACCGTTCTAGGGCTGGCTGGAGATATGAATATGCGAGACGCCGTCGTCTCGGCTATCACATATTTTACACAGGGCGGAGTACCCCCTATGCCCTGCAGTCCGAACAATCGATTCCGACTCATTGGACGTCTCACATCACTAACTTGACGATTTACCATCTCTATCACAAATCAAAACTAAACAAAGTTATATTTACATCATAAAACTAAGACAATTGGTCGAAATTGGTGGCTTCGATGTCCTTGCCACAACGCACCCACCCAACCTTGGGTGCCCCAAAAATGATGTAGGAGGCACGCCCCATCTCCGGCAGACCGGAGTCTATTCCTGGTGGATTAGGATCGGCTCATCTCCCCGCCCAAGGTAACTTACACAAACATCTCGGTAGCTTGTTCACATTTAATTTCGGGCAAGACTAATAATAAAATACATTCATTATTGATTCCTTCTAATAATCTACTCTTTTCGTTAAAAACACTTAAGGCCGATCTCAGACCGTCGCCCAGATGAGAAGCGGTCAAAGCGGCAACAACAGAAGGGAAATTTTTAGAGGCTTAAAATTACAAGTTTTTGGCAAAATCGCCGCACGGCACTAAATTGGAGGCGTTTGCCAACCGGGTCGCCTAATCCTGAGGAGCTCCAAGGGAAAAGAAGGGACGTGCTGAAAAGGTAAGTACGCTAAATAAATCCCATAAGTCATTAAATTTCGCGACCCAATTTAGACGTAATTGGACGCGCGGCTAGGGTTCGGAATTAAGCCTCTAATTTTAGATTAGATTTCACAGTGAGTACTTGACAATCTTGACTGTATGATATCACAAAAATAACAACTAAAACTTATTTATTGCAGAGTTCAACGTCGGATGTGGTTGAAGCTGCAGCCAGAAGAGAAAATCGCTAGCGGCAAAATCCAGCGAGAGTCCACACGGAGCCAATTGGTCCGGAGGATAGCGCAGCGTCTGCGTAAGAGGGGCCGGAGGCGGTGCGTCGGTGGACTTAGAGATGACCACGTGGTCAGAGCGGGCATTCGTTCCGGGAACGGACTCAACGAGGGAATCTCCGTATCTGGCCGTCTCGGAGGCAGTTGCTGGAGCTGCTGACGTTGGAGGCTGCTGCTGCTGCTGATCGCTGCTGCTGCTGTGGCTAATGCTGCTGCGGAAGCTGATCGCTGTTGCTGCTGAGGCTAATGCTGCTGCTGCGGTTAATGCTGCTGCGACTAATGCTGCTGCGGCTAATGGTTCTGCGGCTAATGCTGCTGCGGCTGATGCCACTAACAGCTGCCGCTGTTGGAGCCGATCGCTGCTGCTGGTGATGCTGCTGCGGCTAATGCTGCTGCGGCTGGTGGACGACGACCAGGTTAGGTCCGCCTGGTAAGTGTTCACCTTCCCGAATCTTTTAAATTTCCGGGGCCCTTTAGATAGGGTCCCCGGTGTCTTTAATATTTTAAAAAAATCACTGTCATTTATAAGTATATTGCAAATAAATAACCACTCACTTCAAATTATCTAAACACTAATAATGAATTTATGAACTTATTTTTTCCCGACTGTTCTCCTACGACTTATTGCAGCAACTAAAGCAAAACCCTGACCTACACCAAAGTCGTTCGCCATTTTCCCTCCCGCTCTCTCAAGATGAGTCAGCGAACGTATTCAAGGCTATTTAACCCAGTTAACGAGCGAACCGGGATAAATTTAAATAGCTAGATCCTCTCCCGCTATCAATGGTCGGTGTCACCACCGAATCTTATCGATAGCGGGACCTGCTGACGTATCGGTTCGTTTTAGTATTTTCCAGACGGCTTCAACTGAAAATGCAACGTAATCGCATTTATTTTAAATGCGGCATTTAGCCGTTTGGGATTCCCTGTGTAAATAAATGTGTTTTAATGCGCCAATGGAATCAGGCTATATATTGACAGAATTTTAAATTTCAAAAGACAAAATTTACACCATTACGGCGAGCAACGGAAGAAACATAGTCAAAGCAGTGGGACTTCCCAACACTTCGATTTTGAGGGTGCAGACAACGAAGAAGCTGCTGGTGAGGATCTCGACGAAGAAGGACTGCTGACCAATATCGAAATTGTAGGGGTGTGGACCCGATTTTATAATTAAAAAATATATAATTTTTCGAGGAACTAAGGCTTTCTAGTTCCGAAATAGTCTGGCAGCCTTGTTACCTCAGAAAATACTAAACGATATGTTCGTAATTTCCAACACTACTTGTCAAATTCCTTGGGGCCAGCCATCGCCATTTGCGCTTTTGTTCTTCTAATTCTGAGCATTCGTAAAAAGCACACGCGCTTTACCTTTTATAAGTGTTCTTCACAAGCCAGAACTCTATAACCGCCGAACTTTTGCGCCAGCTTCAACTGTTGTTAAATCAACAAGGAATTTGACGGGAGTGGCGAGATTTAGTGTGGATTCGTAGTCAATGCGATTTTGATCGCGGCCCTAACATCTAACGAGTCGTATTACCACGAAATAAGGTGAGCCTAGGAAAATTTCGGATTTCGTCTACTAAATGGAAACGTACTAGGAACGCCAAACTTGCGTGAAACGGTATTGCCTGTAGCTTTTTTGGGGATCTTGGCGGCCACCGCGTGGAGCCGGCGTGAGCTTCGAGTCAAACTGCGTATCGATCTCAACCCCAACACCTGCACCAGGGATCACAGCAAGTTGGCCTTGCAGAATCTTGGCTGACACTGCGTGGAGACGACGTTAACCTCGACTCAGGGTACGGATCAATCCCAACCCCAAAACCGCACCAGTGATCACTGCTAGTTGCCTTTGCAGAATCTTGGCTGCTACCGCGTGGAGCCGGCCTAAATCTCGAGTCGAGCCGCGCGCCATCTATAACCTCCGATACATTTTCATTAATCCTGCCCAGCGAACACAGCTGTCGACTCCGCTCAAACCCAGTTTGGAAAATTCTGAACCACCATATATCGTCACGTTTCGCAATCTGCATGTCTCCGTATAACCAAAGACGTTGTTTTCTAATTTTTATGTACTCTAATCCTAAAATAATACTAATCAATAAGAAATGTTTTATCGAGAGAAGGGTATTGTATGTGTATTTGGCCTTAGATTGATTCTATTCTAACAATGTTATGAAATCCTCACAACAATTAACAGGAAGTCCACCGGCCTGTTGACTACGTTAGAATTTCAGCTGTCAAAGAAGGTTGTAAGTACGGCATAGCCGACATTTTTGAAAAATCTACTCTAAGCCAAATAGTATTACGTACTAAATTAATAGCCCAATCATAAACTATCTACCCATTTTGAAGCCATTTGAAATATCTACTGCTTAGTATATTGAAATCATCTATAATTAATAATTTGTTGACAAATGATTATGCCTTCATAAATATTTATATAATTCTTCTTTAATTTTTTTATGAAACATTGTAAGCTAAAATGGTTAGATCTTCCATGGGCCAGTTTTAAAATATAAAAAACCAGCATCGATATGAAGTAAAACCGGTTCTGATTTGGGACACCCAAGAAACTGTTGCATTAAATTATAACGGGCACTGGTCAGAAAATTCAAGCGGACCAACGCATGTAAGGCTGGGAGGATTTTGAAGAGGAATTAACCAACACCTAATATTCCTCATACCTAGTAACAATTTGATTTCTTTTGGTTTTGTCTAGTTTAGCCCTTAACTCTGTCTACAATTCTAGCTTTTGTGACGGCGCGGTTCTCTAGGTAGCACAGAAACCCTACACCCATTTTTCCTGAGCACGGCCGAACACCGTAGGTAGAGAACGCTGCCAGTTAGCCGCACACATTCCCGTGTTCGTTACAAAATTCACTCGATAAAGTCAGTGAAGTGTGCAGCACACAGCCTTCAACTTGCCGTGAAGAATTTTTTCAAGGCCTCGAATTGGGTGATTACATTGACACAGCTCGACGAAATGTTAAGCTTTTAAGAACGCCAGCATACAGGAAATTTTATTTCATGGTTTTATTTGAACTCGTAAAAAAAATTGGTAAATTTATTTGTTAGTTTTGTATTTAATTTAAAATTTGTTCCATTTGGTTTTTATGTATTGGGTTGTTACTTATTTAAAAACATTTAACTAATTTAAAATTTGTTCCATTTGGTTTTTATGTACTGGGTTGTTACTTATTTAAAAACATTTAGCTATTGACACATATACAAATAAACTTATTTTTGTTTTTATTGTTCCTTTTTTTATACAAATTTTAAAATCTAATATTTCTTTCTTATATTGTGTATAAAATATTGTTAAATGTTATATATATTATATAAAACCGGACAGCCATATCATATAGCTGCCATGAAAGCGATTGAAAAGTTCGTCGGAAAATTCTCGCAGCTTCATTTTTTTTGAACATATATATACTAAACATATTAAAAGTCATTATGTTATCGTTTTGTGTAATTTTTTCTGGATGCAGGTATTTAATAAACGAGGAATCATTGCCACAAACACTGTTGGATGTTGCGACTCGTTGGAATACAACATACAATATGATGAGCAAGTTGCAATAAAAAATTTGGCAGCAAATGAGTGGAGTGCTGTAAGAAGGCTCGTCGATACCGTCTAACCAGCGTATATTGCCACTGAGAAGACACAATTGTTTATGGGTGACTTCTACAAGCTAAGGCTTGAGCTCAAGCCACCTGTTGCAGCAGCGGATAGCACTGAAAGCCAGACATTGATCCAGTGCATCCGTGAAAGGGAAGAGTGCTTTTTGGGGTGTAAGCCTAAATTTGCAGCATACACTTGGACACACGCATCAGACGAGTTTTACTACAAATCCAATTAGCGTAATGCTCTCCAGAGCTTATTTTAAACCTATTTCAATTGAAAAAAACAGTATTTATGTAATTTATTAATTTAAACTTATAATTTATGAAGATATCATTGCAGACTTCACAGCCTTCCTGCAGTACGTCAAACGCATCAACGTTGTTTGAGGCTGATAATTTATTAGTTTTGCAAAGCTCGAACACCTATTCGTTATTAAACGAGTTCTTGCAAGCGAATGACGTAGCTTCAGAGGATGAAACTGATGGTGGACCAACGAAAAAAATTAGGAAGCGGAACAACGAAACTTACGGCTATAGCCTTAAGCCAATATGATCAACCACCAATATAATGGAGTACTGGGATTAAAAGAATTCTTATACCCTAATTTATACCAGCTGATCAAAGTGGTACATTCAGTTCCTGCAACTCAAGTGAGCGTTGAAAAATCATTTTTGACACTCAAAATGATGCTCACAGACCAACGATGCAACCTTGGTGAAGAATCATTGGCTAATTTATTTTTTGTAAAGCTAATTAATAAATAAACTTAAAAATAAACGTACATTTTTTGTTATTGAAATCATATTAAAATCATTTTATTTTAAAAATACAAAAATATATAACAATATAGCTGCAAATCAAATTTATTTGGTTGAAATAAAATAAATATCACTGAAATATTAATATAACAAGTAGTCCTCAAGTGTGGTTTTGTGATTCCTAAACACGTATATAAAACAATTTTGGCGAAAAATCTAACATAGTTGTCGTGACAAATAATTGCGTTTTTTTCTGTACGGACAAAATAAAAATCGATGAATTAATTAATTTTGTTTATTGCAGAAAAGAAAACAAAGTTAGGGGGTATCTTTGTGATCTCTTTACAAGGATTTGAACCGATTTTGGCGAACAAATTAACACAGACTTACAATTGAGTTTTATTTTGAGTAATAAAAATAAAAATCTTTAAGAATCATTATTTTTGAGTTTTTTTTTTTATCAAAAATATTAATTATTTTTGAGTTTTATTTTTTTTGATCAAAAATAATAATTATGCCATGAGTTTTATTAAATTACTCAAAAATAATGATTTTCATTGTAGAAAAAAGTTAAAATTGACAATTTAAAAATCATGAGAGAAATGCATTGATTTGACAAAGATATACCATTCTTTTCTAGGCCCGTTACAAGTGGCTGATTTTTTTATTTGAAAAAAAAGAAATAATCATTATTTATGGCAAGTAAATCAAGTGCCAGGATCAATATCGCAAGTTGAGACTCGGAATGACGACAAGTCTAATATCCTATGGAACTAGGTCGTGATTGAGTCGAGCTTAGGAGTCCTTGCGTGGAGTCTGCAATAAAGATGGCAGGGCGACAAGGACGAACCTAACTCTACCTGCTAGGTAATTCACTTTGCCGAAAAAATCCAGACTGAGCTTTGGGACCCTGCGACAAAGGTGGCTGGGCGACAAGGCAGAATATATTTCTACCTGCTAGGCGATACACCTTGCCGGCCCCAATAGGGAGGTTCCCATAACATCCAGGTGGAGACGCTACGATTAGGACACAAGCAAGCAGTCAACGACGAGGAGCAATCGCTACAGTAGAAAAAGAGCCGCGTAAAGACTATATTTAGACAAATAAACCTTATCGATCCCAACAAAAACCCTTGCGTTATCATTTAGTCAAAGGCAATTATCCAATATAAATTTTGTGGAACAAACCAACAACATATCGGAGCATGTTTACGTAGCAAGCAAGGTAAAGTAAATCAGGTCGTTTCATCTGGCGCACGTGAGTGAGTGTCCCGACTTACATAACAAAACATCCAAGATGGAAAAGTCCTGGATTTGTAATCTCAGGTAGGATAAATTTGCCGAGGTGAGCATGGTTCATGGAGGAAGTCACTGTGAGATTTTGTCGACCAGACAGCAGAAGAGACGGACATTGCGATGTTAGGGACTGGACGAAGCTGCCATTCTCAAAATATAAAACAACTACCGCAAGTGCCGAAAGTTTAATATCGAGCCTGGATTTCCAGAGCATAGCAGTCGACGGCAGGCAGCGGGAAGGTGGCCGGAAAGGTGGCCGGGAAGGAGGACGGCCAAGCGAGTCCGTGAGTGGGACTTTCTTTGTGATGGCAACGATAAGCCCTTTGAGTTACTGGAGCAAATAGAGTTTTCGGTCGTAACATATGGTCTCGACATAAACCAGATTCCACAAACAGTGCCGGAGCTGCTGCAGGGCAGAGCTTTAAAGTGGTTTAAAGCCACTTCGCCTGGCAAACATTTTTGGACAAAGGAGTACCGGAATCGGCGACTCACTTTCTGCTGGCGAAGCGGCAAGATATGAGTGCAGTGCTTTTCGGGAAACGCACAACGAGGGGCGGACAGGGATCGTGAAGTGCTGCCTCTTGAAAAAATTGGGCGACCTGAAGGCGGAAGAAAGAAACTGTCCGCCACAGTGCTCATAGGTGACGCAAGTATTATGACCACGGTGAACCCCGACGGCACAGCGAGATTCATCAGCGAAAAGATGACAGACAAGCTGCCTGTTACCGCCCCAGTACAGCAATTTGAAATTTAATTCTTATTATTTCTTTTCTACAAAATTATCGATGGAAAGAACGATACATTTTAACATCAATCGATGTGCATCCAGGAAGAGAGGCAACTATCGAAAACCAATTGCAGCACGAGCCTCGAGAAGAGAAGAAGATTTTTTAAAGGTCTTTATAATCCAGAATATATTTTAAATATAAATAAATTAACCATCGTTTCAACTAAAATGCTGCTAGAACCTTCGTTTTAATGGCCGGCTGTAACATTCTTTAAAAAATCTTACCATACGTGAACGACTAAGTTCCGCGTGTGCATGAGAAATTACTCTATAGTGAAAAGAAGAAAAAATAAACTACTATATGCGTATCGAACAATTAAGTTCCGCGTATATAAATAAAATCATTAACTTGCTACTGATATAGTGACTCCTAGTTGGTTGCGTATATATATATATATAAGTTAAGAACTAAGCACATAAGATACACTTTTTTATGTCATATATTGCTTTTCATACATAATCATAAATAATTTGGTTGCCCTCAGCAACAAATACTTAAGCATTCTGTTTGCCCTCAGCAACAAAGTAATATTATTGTAAGCAATGCTGACTCGCTACCAAGAGTTCTGCGCGCAGCCACTGTAAATGGACACCGTGTTGCTTGCGCAAGAATGCTGAGTCGGCACGCCGACTCGAGCGAATGGCGTGATGCATTGACTTCGTAGGGCTAACTTAAATTTGAATATTTCTGTAGCCTTCAGTTTAAATCTAGATCGCAACTCAATAAGTCGATAAATGATTAAAGCTCCGGCATTGCCGTGAAACAAAAATACAAACATTAAAATTGTGTTATCATTCAAAGTTGACCACGTCCAAGACGGGCAACTGGGAAGGTTTCCCGCAACGTAATCATCAGTGTTCCAATAACCAATTATTGAACACATCAACACCTCATCGAAGGAAGGAAGTCATCGCATCCAAGAACCGGAAGACTTAACTAACACCTCATCGAAGGAAGGAAGTCATCACGTCCACGGATCAGAAGACTTAATTTATATACATACATATATAAAAAAGGTACAGTTCCGCACTAGCAAAGGAAAAATACACAGTCGTATACATACAAAATTCCCATATACCGATGCGAATTTCAACTGCGTAGATAAGAGCAAGACAGTTCCGCAAAAAAGAATTTTGAACACATGACGCCGCCTAGATGTGTATCGTTTTCGTGAAAAAACTAACTGAAACAAACTGACCACTAAAGCTGTGAGTAGGGGCATGATTTTCGAAAGTGAATACATTTCGCCCAACAGGTCAAAGTAAAGATCAATTTTGAAATCAATTACAAGAATACGAAAATATTCAATCGCGACTACGATAATGCCATATGTTGCGTTTGCAAAAAAGATAGACCCGGTAACGACATTATTTGGGTGCAATGTGAAACTTGCAAGACTTGGTACCATTTTGCTTGCGTGCGCGATGTAAGTGACGATAACCTTAAAGGCTGGGCCTGCCCTACTTGCAAACAAATTACATCCAACAACGCTTTTAAAGATGTAGACACCACCAATAAGGAACCGCAAGGTGCAGCCGCACAGGGTCTAGAAGTTAGCTCAGTGGCTCCTAAAAAACAGTTAAAAGGCTATCCGGATCCGATGCAGATCATGGAAAACAACTTGGAGCAAATCAACGCAGCTGAAGTTGAGATTCTTATGCAACAGATGTTAGAGTAAAATCGGGAAGCTGATCAAAAATATATCCAGCAAAAGTATGAAATACTTGCACAGCAGTGTGGCGCGAACATGACGTTGCCACATACCAATATGGTTCCAACCAGTGCTCAGCTATCAGCAAGCCAATTACTTCCAGCAGACTTACCACCCTTTAACGGAAATCCAGACGAGTGGCCAACCTTTATAAGCGCTTTTGAGAACAGCACCTCTGTGGCTGGCTTCTCGAATGTGGGACACATGTTACGCCTCCAAAAATGTCTGAAAAGAAAGGCGTACGACCTAGTGAGAGACAAGCTTTTGTTGCCAACTGTGGCGACCTGTATCAGCAGAGAGCGACGCTAAGGAGAAGAGTAATGTTCTCTCCCTATCTCCACAGTAGGTTTGGCTGGTACTTGGCCAATCCGTTGGCAACGCCTTTATTAGTTCCAGAGTCAGTTGATATAAAGTGTTTTCATTCAGTGGGAGATCGTGGTCTTTACACTGGCGACGAGGATAAAACCGGAGATTAAGTTTGTGCTAACCCTTTTGCAAGAAAAAGATAATCGAATCGATTAAATCAGCAAACGTGAAGTGTGCAAAAGAAATGTAAGTAGAAAAAAAAAAGAAGAAGAAGACACAGGCACACAGCATTGCCAGAGTGGAAAAATCCTTGCCAAATGGAAGGATTAAAGAAATGAAAAAAAAAGAGAGGAGAGAGTCTATTCCAAATGGAATGAGATCCAAAAAAAAAAATAAAAGAGTCTATTCCCAATGGAATGAGAACAAGAAATTCCAAATGGAATGAGCTTTTTAAAAAAAAAGCGCCTATTCCAAATGGAATGAGATCAAGGAAAGAAGTAAAAGCCTTAAGTTATCTGTTCCTAATGGAATAAGAGCAAATAATGAGAATACAGAAAAGCCCGATGTTGGAGGATTATTCTGGGATTTATGTTTTAATTTCAGGAATAATTATGACGGAATAATTATGACGGAAATTTCTATGCCAGGCGATGGACAAGGCACTATGGCGTACGGAGTGGGAAATGTGGCTGCGCGCATTTACTATATATGTGGACACGGAGGAGATCACAAATGTATATAAAAAGAGGAATAAACTCCTTCACTTGGGTGGACCTCAGCTTCAGGCGGTTGTGTATAGCATTCCCGGCGCCTTGATACCATACGACGACAAGGCTAAAAATGACGTGTTTACTCCTTTGGTAAGCAAACTAAATGAGTATTTTTCACCGCTGCGAAATTCCGCGTTCGAAAGGCACC